CCGTTGGGAAATGATGGAGGTATACGATAGATCACCCGAAAAGATCTAGATTTATCTACAATGTGACCACTATCTATCAGGTGTGCTTAGATAGAACTGCGTATTGTTTTTGACTGACCCTTCTTAAACCATGCTGGGAGATGTTCACTCATTCGTTGGGTAAGTTGCCTGGAAGTACGCCCGATATAGCTATTTCCACAGGAGCAGCTGAATTTGTAAATGCACATTGGTTTAACATTTTCATATAAATATTCATGTATATTAGAGTAAAGCCTGATGACGATCTAATCGAAAACAATATTGTTCGCTTATATGTGTTGTTCTAATCTTACTTTTGTCTTTTCACAATTAAAATAAACTTTTGAACTTTAAACTGTTCAAAAAAAATTATTACAAAAATGGTATAGTTGTAGTTTAATTCATTGTGAAAGAATTGGTTCTTCTTATAATCCAACTTTATTGTCTGAAACAAACCATGATGATTGTATGAAGTGTAACTATTAGTGCTGGACAGAAAATACAATGAGGATATCAACAAGATATCCACAAGCATAAAGTACCACCTCACTTAGTCGTTTTGTAGTGATTTCGATTTCTAGCAAATGAGTAAAAACGTTTTTAAGGGTGAATAGTGTCAACTAGAATGGGATATTTTTAGTATCTAATGACAACTTGTGTTTTTAAATCAATATTATTTGATTGATTTAAAAAATACTGTAAACACAAATTTTAGATTAGACTCAACGTTTGCTCCGTAGGTAAAAAATCTTTAACTTACATAGAGAATCTTGGTGAAATCGTTTCTTTTTTTTATTCCTTTCGTTTTATAAATCGTTGATTGTAAATCCAATTAAATAGAGAGCGTAATTTTAATTTTCTTTTTGTTTCATTTTATTATTACGCAACAAATCATGAAATGAAATTTTTATTATGAGATGAAAAAATGTTTTTTTTTAAGCTAGTAATTCATTCATCTTAAGTTAAGACAGACTGGCAATAAATATCTATTGAGCTACAGCGCTATCGTATCCAAAGGCAATATTTTAAGAATAGTTCTAAATTCACAGTCATTAAAAAAAACTGATTATAAGGCCAGAAGATCCATAAAAACTGTCAATAATTGTAACGACTGTCACGTAGATTAAGTGAAATTCTTCTCCATGCCGTCGATAATGATTAAACCAGAAGTTCAATTGTTTGAAACCTTCTAGACTAAAAGATTGACATTTTAGACTTACCAATACCACCAGCATGAAACAATGAGGACATTAGCTAGTTGAAGAATCAACATTACCCTCATGCAAAGTTAGCAATTGTGCCATAACATATTGATAACTCAGTTGATGTAATTTATGTTGGCTTTTATATCTTGGTTTGATGATTGAAAGTGATATGAAACTGAAGCAATATGTACAAAAACTGGATATTAACTTTATTTTGTTCTAACAACAAAAGCTATCATTTCGATAAAGTTCTAATCTTTCCTAGTCTTGCCATATTCATAGCTATAGACACACATAAAACAAAAATGTAATGACACATCTAAATATTATGAACAGAATCCATGTATATTATTACGAAATTATTTTGCCAAACAAGTTGATGCCCTATCATGTGCATTAGGTAAACAACAGTTTCATTAAGCCAAATTAAATACCCATTTTTAAGCTTATTTTCATACAGAACAATACGATGTACATGAGAGCGTTAAAGCTGATTACATTCGTATTAGTTTTATTTACTGAATAATTCAGCATTCGAGTAGTTGTTTATATATATATATATATATATATATATATATATATATATATATATTTCTTTGTTTGGTCACAATCTGCTCAAAAATACTTTTTCTCTTTATTCCAATTCATATTTTAATCAGTATGTTTATTGTGGGCGTTAGATAAATAAATTATTATTGTCAAGTGTTAAGTTAAAAAAAAAACAGTTCTACTTGTTACTGAAAAAGGGAACAAACAGTCAGCTTTGTTTATAGTTTGGTTAATTCTGTTGTGTAGGTTGAAAAACATTGTGAACTTTAAGTGATAAAATGAACAAGCTAGACAATGAATATAGTTTGTTGTTTTTTTCAGACAAATAAACTTTACAAAATGAGGATTTACAACTTCAACAACATTTGTTCAGATAAAATAAACGCGTATATGCATTCCAAAAGTTAACATACAGATAGAATTAAATGGACATTTGCGTTATAAAAGTTGACTTTGACATTATGGAATTATTTTAACTCACAAATAGTAGCGATTCAAAGTTATAACTAGTATCCTAGATTATACAAATACAACACTTTTCAAGTCAGTGAATGGGAACTCGCCTCCTGAATTAAAAGTCTTCCTCAGTACTGGTTAAATAAGAAACACTATAATTGTCGTCGAGAATTTATTTCATTTGTATTCTACAAAGTTGAAGACAGTATCCTGCTTTCTAATTCATAGTGCTGCTCAGTCTATGTTGCAGTGTTTCTCCATTAGAGATCACTATGTGTAACGTTGGGTAGTTAGATATGAATCCTAAGGGAATTTCAGTTGATCGCTGTTTGGTATTTGTCTACGAAGCATATTTGTCATCTTGAAGGAACCAGGGCTGCCTTTGGAATTCAAACTCTTAGACTGAGAATGTTAGACTGAAAATGGCCTACTGTTTGATGAGGATATTTAAATTAACAAATTCACGGCTATTACTATTCACAGTTTACTTTAATCTAACAGCAATCACTATGTACATAAAATCAATGTACATAGGTCTTTGTTGTTTTGTTTGTTAATTTGTCATTTTTAACGAGACTTATGCTAAATATTGTGTCACAGTTGACTCGCTCAAAACACTCACTCAGAAGCCATCAGATAATTCTTCCAATGATAAGAAGCCATTAAAACTATTATGAAGCTCAGTTAACTACTATAATAGTTTGAGTATGATGAATTGTGAAGTTCATAAGTATGTTTTGTGCTAGGTAGAACTAATCAGTAAAGTATCAATGTTGATGGTAGGCGTGACAATTTCAAACAAATTGAGCATTGAGTAGAAAGTTAGTAATAAATAAATTAATAAGATATCTCATGAAAGAAAATTTAAACTTCGAACTTTCACAACTTAATCTAAGCCAATTTTTCCCAATGAATAAATAAATAACTGCATAAAATTAACGTAAGCTTAAGTAACGTAAAGAGAACAAAGCAGAATATTTATATGTATATAGGCTTTGTAAGAGTCAATAGTGAAATGAAGTATTTTCTTGTCTGCAGATCTTATTACTGAAGTGATTAGTTCGGTCCATGACTATGGTCCTAATTTTTGCGACCTCGCATTCATTAGAGAACACCAGTCTACTTACAGTCTTAGGTAGGCATGAAACATCCAACATAATTCACTAGAATGTTGAATCCTGACTACGTTGCAAACTGATTGATAGGATTTAATCATCACTGTTCACTAAATAGCATGACGTTTTGTTATTTAGTGATCAATTACTTAAATTTAATTTTTGTCCAGAAACTTTAACTAGGTTACTTAACACTACGAACAACGGACAAAAATTGAAAACTAACCTATTTCCTGTTCAAAATAAAATGTATTTCATCAGTTTACGTTTTTATTGTGACCAGATCATCTGTAACCAATGTTTCATGGACATAATAACGAATGCAATCATCTAACATGTTCAATGTTCATTACAATGATTAATAATAATAATAATAAGGCGTGTTGATATGTTATTGAATAATTAATTACAGTTAGAGTTTCGGTCCATGTGCTCAGTACAGATTGTTAGTTTTATTTTTATTTGACAAATAATAATAATAATAATGATAATTCATCTGAATAAAATTTGATCATATTTAGGAATTTTTACATTTTCTTTTAACGAAATTCATTTACTAGTCATAATGCTAACCAAATACTTACTTCATATATATGTGTATATCCTAATAATTTATTTATACAAGTAAAATAAATCATCGTATTTATTGTGAACAATGTTTTATATAGATTTATTGACTATTTTTTTGTGGAGAAGAAGAATAATACTTCATTGTCTTTTTAAAGATTATTTTAGATAAAAATTAGAATACAGCTTGTTCTCATGGTAACCAGAATCACTGAATACCTGTACAACTATTGTGATTATATTCTTAACCAAAAAAAGTACAAACTAATTTCAATAGGAAATGTAACATTTAACTACATGTGTTGTTGAAAATTTTATAACAATTGTATGTGATAAATAAAAAAAAAACCTAACTGGTAGACATTTTATAAGCGATGAACATTTTAGAAATAAATAGAAGTGTAAATTTACAGAAGTTGTAACATTTTTCTCTGATTTTCACATACACTCTTCGCTAAATTGGAGGATTTCTGAAAACTAGACAAAATCTACTGTTTTATCATGGAAAGCAATCTAGTTGAAAACTTCTGGCAAGGGTGGAGTGCTAAACAACTGTTTTTTTTGTTAGTTTGGGACTTTTCTATCAACAGTTATCTATCATCTCGTGTGGGATAAAACTCAGAATCTTAAGCTTTCTTATTGAATATGGGTCGATATCTAACAGTCGACATTTCCAATTTTGAAAGAATTATAATACAGCTTAATACAATCGAATGTCATTAGTTAATAAGATTCAATAAATTTAACAAATCAATAAAGGTAATTGAAAATCAACTAATTCAATCAGTGACTGATTACAGAAATGGAATAAAAAAATAATGTTTACTTGTTGAAAATGAATAAAATAAGTGAGCTGTTTAAAAACGATAACAACTTCAGAAAATTTCGCTGAAAAGTTTTTAATCAAAATACACTTTCGATTGAAAGCAATAATCAACCTTCTACTTATTACTCATAACAATTTAAAGACATTTTACATTCACCAATTCAAAATAAAGTTTATTTTTATTGAAAATATCTGTATACAATTTAGTGAATCAGAAATATTGATCAATTTAAGTTAACACAATAAAAAATATAGTAGACTTACTTAAATAAGGCAAATTTTTCAAAAATTTATTAGCTATTTATCTATGCAAGAATTGAACAATGAATCAAATCCATTCAGCATGGTTTGTTTTTGAATTTCTTGTGTGAAGTGCAAGATTTAAAGTAATGCTAATAGTAATCTATAGTTTATAATAATTTATTTCGATTTGAATTTGTCAATTATTATTCTAACTAGTTTTTCATCAAACTCTGTGTGATTTCAATAATATTATCAACATTAGTTAGGATTTTTGTTTGGTGAAATGCGCTAATTCATATCTATTGTAAATATTGGCGGATAATCAATTATGACAGTAAAATATCCTTTACAGACATGAAGAAAATGATTTAAATTATATTCTTCTTAAATGTATAACATTTAGAATTTGTGTAATTATTGGTTATCGAGCATTTATTAATGTCAATTGTTTCCTTGTCACAACTGATCATTCGATTTTGCTGTATTGAAAAAAGAACCGATTCAAACTTTGAATATGATTTCAATAAATATAAAATGTAGTTAGTTAAATTAATAGTGAATGAATATTACTGTTGTTTAAATACTTACTCTTCAATGTAAATCTATTGTATGTGTTGTTTTTATAGGCGTTGCTCAACTTATCTACAAATTGTACTGTTGTATTTCAGCCAAATACTCAAGTATCTGCAAGACAACATACAATTTAAATTGATACATGAGGGAATATGAATAGATGTATACATATACATAAATTTATATATATTTAAAGACAAACAATTGTCAATTTTTATTTTCTCATTCAGAGCAGGAAAATTTGTGGAAGAGATAGTAACATTCTATTCAAAGTAGCACAGACATATAAGTAGTAGTACTAAGTCAACTTGAGGGAAGTTATAGAATGTGGCTCACTTTATATATATATATATATATATATATATATATATGCATATATTTCCTTAAAGCTACACTACAAGTGAATATATCCAACCTATTCACTTTCAGTTAGACTACAGACTGCTACAATGAATGAATTTACTAGATATATATGGTTGAAATTATTCAACAAAACACTTTATTAGAAATACTTTAAGAAATCACATTCTCTAGATTGAGGAAACTGTTTTTTTTGAATCGTATTTAAAGAATATCATTCTTGTATGATATCTGATGAAATCGTGGGTTTGTGATGTTGATAAAAATTCATACTTAAAGCAAAAATTTGTCTAATATTTTATTATTTTCTTTGGTTAATGTTCATGATGTGAATTGTTGAAGTCAACAATCTTCCAAAAAATTCCTTACTTTATTGATTTACAAACTGTTGGAAATGAAAAGCAATCAGTTGAGTTGCAGCTTGTAGTGAATTTCAGGAAGCAGGTTTTACTTTATTTTTAACTTGTCCATTAAAATACACTTGTAGCTGAATACAATACAGAATCTCTGATTCTGTAATTATTACTTCATATGTTTACGCTTTATGAACCAATCTCTTGCTATTAACGCGATGAGAAAAATACAGTTTCATGTAAATGACATAGAAAAATAGACTAAATTAGTTTGAATGCTATTGATATTTGAAACTGTTATCCATTTTCCAATGTATTTTGATTCACAGGAGTTACTATTACAGATCTTCGTTAACAGTGATACGTTTTCCAATATTTTTACAATGATATTTAATTATTAGCATTGTGGATTATTCCAAGTAAGGATAGCAGATCAACTGATGAAGTATTACTGTGTTATTTTAGTACGCTATTTTGTGGCTCTCTCAAGGACGTCCCTATCATGCATAAATAAACGCGATTTGTGTTCTTGCGAAAACCTCATATTTCTAAGTGTCTGTCGAATACACTTTCTACGCCATATCAAAACTTCTTCGTCTAATTAGTGCGGCCTTAAGATGCTCGAATTAGAATAGCCTATGGTGTCACTTGAATCATTTATCTTCGTTCTCGTTTACCGACTAAGTTGAATTCGTAAATAGTTTCAAGCATATCAAGTGACGAGCATAACATTTAAGTATCTATTTTTAATCAGATTGTTGTTTTCAAATTTATATAGTGGACAAACAATTGTAGACCTTGAAAATTCTAAAATCATTTTATTTTATTTAACAAATCTTATTGTTTTACTCTTCTTTTATTCAAACATCATCAATCACTTAAAATAAAAGAATTAGAAATCAAATAATTGTTTTCATTTCCAGTTATCCTAGTTCTACTGTTAACAAATCACTTTTAATTGATTCACATATCAACAATATAAAATGTATGGTGGAGAAAATTTGTAGCTCATGTGGATGAGTGTGATGGTGTTTCGTTCACTGAGCTTGATGTTTTGGTTGTGGAGCTTTCATTGTTCTTCTGAACAACATAATCAACATAAACTTAAGCTAGACTTCTATCTGAAAGCTCCACAACCAAAACATCCAGCTCAGAGAACAAAGCACCATCACAATGTATTATTATATTTGTATCTTATGTTCAAAAGTTTTATTTCGTTTCAAAATCAATATATTCCAAGTTAGAAAAGAAGTTCAAATTGATATTTCCAATCATCAAATATGACACAATAAAAAAATGGCTGTTCGTTTTTCGATTGACTCACCATCAAAGTCAGACACTGATTGAAAAAATACACTGAAATGCAATGAAATTTTTTAATTGTTACAACTGGTAGTAGAAGTGGTTAATAGAAGAAACAAGAAAATCATTTTGTACAGATATCAAAAAACTAGATATCTGTCAACTAGTTTATCTAATTTCTCTCATCTTCACAATGTGAAAATTTCTTGGAAATCATTTATGAGATATTTCTTGAAGTTTCATCTTATTACACTTATTCTTCTGTCTGTTTGTTCTTCACAGTTCACAATTTTGTGGAAAATTTGTACTTACCGTAGTTGAATAAACTGAATATGTATCATCTGGTGAATAAAACATGGCAAATGCTCCAGGATTATTTATAATTTGATCTTAGTAAATTCTCTAAAGTACCATCAGGTTCTAAAAACAAAATTCAAGCTAATCTTCTGTGGTAAAACAATGAATTAAAGGAAGCCTTAATAAGAATATAAACAGTTGACTTTGATAATTTGTAGATTTCAGTCTTGAACTGTACATCGATCTATTCAAAAAAAAAACATTAGTTCAGGAAAAAGGAATTACTGCTTGACCATATCATAATTAACCATTGTAAACCTCACCATGGAAGTAAAGTCAACCTATCGTAAAAAAATACATGATTCTTTCAACGGTATAACGCTAGGATTTGCCTAACTTGTTCTAATTTATAGCAAATAAAGACTAAAATGAACTGAAAATCTCATCACATGGTGAACTATTATTTCTCATGTCAAATTTAAACAATCTTTGGTAAAGACAAAAAACTTTCGAGAAAAAAACAACTCACAAAATGATTTATGTGATTTATTAAGATTAAATCATTATTTAAATACGCATGATCATTCATTTTTTCAGTACAGTATTAACTGAAAAAGAATATTAACTAGGATTACGACTGAGTTATTAGATTATTATATTTGATACAGTTAATTAAGTAGTATAAATAAACTGTTTCATGAAAAAGATATTTTACTTTTTCTTCAAGGAACAATTAGTTATTAAAATTTTAATTCTCATAAATATTTAGCATACTTTGTGAGGAGATTGTGTTAAGCCTTTTATTTGCATAATTCAAAAGATACATTTGTCATCAAATCACTATCATTCAGACATTCATTACAAAGTTGTAAACGATCATGTTCCAAGTTTATGATGAATTTAATTTCTTTCATTCAACTGAAAATGCTGACCACTTGAGCTCATTTTTTGAATTTCATATGGGCGTTAAGACAAAAACTATTTTCGGGCAGAGTTTTGGAGGTTTTGTGTTTATACACATTTGAAATCATCAATCAATCATTGTTAGACCACCTTTAGAAACCTGGAAGCCGTCCAGTGCTTCCAAGTTTCTAAAGGTGGTCTAACAATGATTGATTGATGATTTCAAATGTTTAAAAACTATTTATCATAAAATCTAAACAACGTTTAAAAATAACTCAAACTGGATAAAATAGTTAATTATCTGAATTAATCTAATCGAAACACATTTTTTTTAAAAAAAAACCTGCTTTACTGAAATGTAGAAATCTAAAATAGGACTTTTATATTCCCACTGGAAATCATTGATTACATTTCATCTGTTTTAATGATAAAAATCAATAATGGGATTTGAAATTTGCCCCTTTGTTCAAATAAGCTTTTCTCAGTAAAGTAGATGTGAACAGGTATGAAAGCAGTTTGTTCTGTTGCATCTCTTTTCACTAAGTTATCGATCAGTAGTTGGAATGGTGGTGTTAGTTATTTCTTTTAAATATTCATTCTGATTGCTCAACTTACATTCAAATGTTTCGTTTTAATCAAACGATTGTTGTTATCAAGTTTGTCAGTATTGATTAAGAAACGTTTAGCTTACTGTAACCATCAGTTTGCAGCAATACATAGTTCAGCCAAACTTAATGCCTATTGTTTTGTCTGAATACAATGACAATCAGACATTATTCATGTCTTTTCTTCATTTGATTGTTACAATTGCTCCTTGTGATTACAAATGGTCTGGAATGATATGCAGCTCAAGTAGTTTCTTGCTGGCAAATCAAAATGCAAAAACTATTCATGTTAAGCATAATAATTTTGAAATTCATATTTAGAAAAGGAATAAACATTAATTTGAAATCATCAACCAATCATTATTAGACCGTCATTAGAAACCTGAAAGCACTGGACTGCCGTTTCATCCTGGTGTGGGACTCATCAGCAGTGCGCATCCACGACTCCTACACCTCGCAGGATTCGAACCCGGGACCTTCGGTATTGTGCGCGAACGCCTAACTATCGGACCACTGGGCCGGCATCATCAACGGTGTTAACTCTGATTGATCTATTAGGATTTGTTATGAATCCTTTTAAAGGCTTTATTGATATAAAATAAAGATGAAGCGAAATGTCGACAAAAAGTTTTCGATTAGTTTTTGAGTAATAAAACGAATATTTTTATCTGTTCGGTATAATCGTTTCTCACGGTTTAACACATACGTAAAATTCATAATTCACTGACTGTGACCACCTACATAACTTTTGTCCATTTGAAGATTATTATTCATGGTGTCACATTCAGTTTTCTTTGTATTTATCACTCTTTAATAAAGGCATCATGA